TGAATACAGGAAAGAGTAAGGTTATGAGAATAAAAAAAGATTATGTGATGAAAGATTGAATATCAGATTGGAGGGAGAGAGTATGGAGGAGGTGAATGTATTCAGCTATTTGGGAGTGGACGTGTCAGCGGATGGGTCTATGAAAGATGAGGTGAATCATAGAATTGATGAGGGGAAAAGGGTGAACGGTGCACTTAGGAGTCTGTGGAGACAAAGAACTTTGTCCTTAGAGGCAAAGAGGGGAATGTATGAGAGTATAGTTTTACCAACGCTCTTATATAGGTGTGAAGCATGGGTGATGAATGTTGCAGCAAGGAGAAGGCTGGAGGCAGTGGAGATGTCATGTCTGAGGGCAATGTGTGATGTGAATATAATGCAGAGAATTCGTAGTTTGGAAGCTGGGAGGAGGTGCGGGATTACCAAAACTGTTGTCCAGAGGGCTGAGGAAGGGTTGTTGAGGTGGTTCGGACATGTAGAGAGAATGGAGCGAAACTGAATGACTTCAAGAGTGTATCAGTCTGTAGTGGAAGGAAGGTGGGGTAGGGGTCGGCCTAGGAAAGGTTGGAGGGATGGGGTAAAGGAGGTTTTGTGTTCGAGGGGCTTGGACTTTCAGCAGGCATGCGTGAGCGTGTTTGATAGGGGTGAATGGAGACAAATGGTTTTTAATACTTGACTTGCTGTTGGAGTGTGAGCAAAGTAACATTTATGAAGGGATTCAGGGAAACCGGCAGGCCGGACTTGAGTCCTGGAGATGGGAAGTACAGTGCCTGCACTCTGAAGGAGGGGTGTTAATGTTGCAGTTTAAAAACTGTAGTGTAAAGCACCCTTCTGGCAAGACAGTGATAGAGTGAATGATGGTAAAAGTTTTTCTTTTTCGGGCCACCCTGCCTTGGTGGGAATCGGCCAGTGTGATAATAAAAAATTATAATAATCATAATAATAATTATATATATATATATATATATATATATATATATATATATATATATATAATATATATATATATATATATATATATGTATATATATATATATATATATATATATATATATATTATATATATATATATATATATATATATATATATATATATATATATATATATATATATATATATATATATATATATATATATATACATATATATATATATATATATATATATATATATAATATATATATATATATATATATATATATATATATATATATAATGAGGAAAACCCCCTCAGGGAAACAAAAAATAAGGAAGAATGTTTTTTTTTTATATTTTAACCAACTTGGTTTAAAACCAAAATATAATGACAACTATTTATCCCTTTTTTGGCTCTATGTAGGTTTTTCTCTCAAACCAACACGAATGTATTACAGTTTTATACGCAACTAAATAAATAAATTTATATTTTTCTTAGATGAAAACCTTCTCTGATAAGCGAAACTAAAGAATTATATATATTAGTCCCGGCGGAAGATGCGTGTTCTGGAGGTGAGCTCCAAGCAAATGACTTCACTGTTAGTTTCGTAATAGCCTCTGGTTTCCATTGTTCCACTGAAATGTTTATATTCGAGACTCGTCATTATAGCGAAATCATTTTACTTTATTTTGTAATTACGGTGTGGCTGTTGGAACAAGGCTGAATGATTCCATTCTTTGTTACGTTTGAAGGTTTTAATGTGGTGAGAAATGTGATAGCTTTCTTGTGGTATACTTTATGGATTACTTGTCTTTTGTTATTCTAGTGTTAAGGTTCCCACATGTTTGCCATACATTAGAAAATTTGCAATCTTTGCGAGGAACTTTTTTTTTATTATCCTTGATTAGTTTCCTGCGGAAACTGAAAATAGTTACTGATATTGTTAGTATAACTAATTACCGAATTATTTCGTTCAAATAGCATTTTTGTGTGTGTGGGGAGGTGTGGAGGCTAACTTTCATTCTAAGGTATTATTATGGTTCCCAGTTTTTTCTCTTATCTCATATTTTTTTTTATGTTTTGTTTAAAGAATATCAATTCAGGTTTCTCCATGCACCACTCTCGAGCTTGGTGCAATGACCAACTTTCAGCTTTCGAAATAAAATTATATAATGCATAATAACCTGATAACAAATTTCGCGATGCACATACGATACCACATAATGAAGAAATATCATGAATATATGAAGTTATCCCGGCAAATACTATAAAATTTAACACGTCATATAAATTAGTAGCAGCAACAGTACGGAAAGGATTCTAGTACTGAGAAAGTTGTCAACAGCAACATGGCCTGGGAACATGCATCCTCTTTCAACTAACTTGTACTTTCAAAATAAAAATGATTTGAATCCCGACGTCTGTCTTGGCAGTGGTTCCCAAAGGTTAACATCTCTTGGGGAAAATGGAAACAAAAGGGTATCACGGCATGGATAAAGAGGTTTATCGTTCCAACCTCACCTGAAGATGTTTGTATATATTTGTACCCTAGAAATTGGTTTCTAGGGTACTTTTATTCCCGCATATATATATATATATATATATATATATATATATATATATATATATATATATATATATATATATATATATATATATATATATATATATATATATATATATATGCGGGAATAAAAGTACCCTAGGGTACTTTTATTCCCGCATATATATATATATATATATATATATATATATATATATATATATATATATATATATATATATATATATATATATATATATATATATATGTATATATATATATATATATATATATATATATATATATATATATATATATAATATATATATATATATATATATATATATATATATATATATATATATATATGCAAGCTTTCAGGGAGAAACTGTAAGCTGTAGCGCAAGCTACACGCCAAGGTATTGTCCAGTGTGGGTAGAGTGGTATAGCACTGCGTACCTTGTTCTAAGGTTCGTAGGTTTGAGTCTCCTTCAGCCAGAGATCAGTGTTTGTGTATATTTCGCCTGCTCTTGCGAATTCCTTGCATTGTTAATATATCTAGTAAGGCTGATGCATGCAGGGGATGAGATGAAAAGCTGTAAGCCCTGAAAGCTGGCTGCCTTGGATCAAAGTCTAGCGCAAGCTGGACTCCAAGGTATTGGTCCAGTGTGGGTAGATTGGTAAAGCACTGCGTACCTTGTTCCAATGTTCGTAGGTTCGAGTCTCCTTCAGCCAGAGATCAGTGTTTGTGTATATTTCGTCTGCTCTTGCGAATCCCTTGCATTGTTAAAATCTCTAGTAAGGCTGATGCATGCAGGGGATGAGATGAAAAGCTGTAAGCCTTCTCCCTGAAAGCTGGCTGCCTTGGATCAACGTGTAGCTCAAGCTACACGCCAAGGTATTGTCCAGTGTGGGTAGATTGGTATAGCACTGCGTACCTTGTTCTAAGGTTCGTAGGTTCGAGTCTCCTTCAGCCAAAGATCAGTGTATATATATATATATATATATATATATATATATATATATATATATATATATATATAATTGAACTTTTGACTGGTCTTACATTCTCATGCTGGATCGTTTGTGTCATTAACCAGTGTAAGTACAATTTTCTGTTATTTTCACACATTGTGAAAGTCATTTCCTATATGGATTTCAGGGCTAGGTAAACATTTCAATTCTTTCCAAATGTTTCGGAGGCAAAAATAACACAATCAGTGCTGAGAAAGATTAACCGCGATTACCAATCCGAATTGCCAGTTTTTATAAATATGTTAATTTTCTGTAAAAAACCAGCTGCTATGAAAATTAAAATAAACTGCATAACTCTAATCAAATAATATTATAACAGCATATCTAAATGAAATAGCAAATTATCTATTAATATTTCGAGAATGATGCAGGTTCCAGACCGACAACGGTGCAACGTTGTACTGAGTAGAAGAGTCCAACTGAGCGTTTTTTTCTGAAGTATATATCTTTATTTACAAAAACTGAACTTTAACCTTCAACCTTCTTCAGTATTTTTCTCTGTATTGGAGTCAGGAAACCACTGGTTGGCAAACGCCGGCTGAAGCCGGTGGGAGAAGTGGACCTGCCTCGCATGGGTCAGTAGGCCTGCTGCAGTGTTCCATCTTTTTTATGTTCTTATATTTAAGATACCCAAGTATAGCAAATGTGTCTTAATTATCTACTTGAGGCCTCATTATCGACATGTTAAGGGATTTGGAGGTCAAACGAAGTTCCTGTGGTGTTTAAGTCAGTACTGAGAAGCATCACAGGTAACAGGATGATCAGAGATGCTGTGTTTCAAGTTACTTGAGATATCTTCTGCATCCTCGAATCCAGCATTTCAATTTAAAAACGCGTTAACAAGTACACAACACCAGACATACGATCAAAAAGACAAAGTATCCATATTATTTAACAATGAGCGGACATTGTGTTGACTACAAGAAACGTATCTAGTTTTCAGCTACTGTTTAAATTTAATGACAACTAGGATTTTTTTTAGAAAATATTTTAGCGTTCATATGTAACAAGGTATTTCGGCTGGTAATTGTTATTTTTTTTTATTTTTTGGCATTGTCGATTGTGTTTCAGACCCTGAAACATTTGGATCATATAACGTGATAATTTTGATAATATATATATATATATATATATATATTTATATATATATATATATATATATATATATATATATATATATATATATATATATATATATATATATATATATATGCAATAAGATCATAGTAAACAGGTGATTTTAAAATATGCAAAACAACCACTGTGAAAGAGTAGTAAAATTCCAAGCGCTTTCGTGACTACTCACATTGTCAAGGAACTGTACTTCCTTGACAATGTGAGTAGTCACGAAAGCGCTTGGAATTTTACTACTCTTTCACAGTGGTTGTTTTGCCTTCTATATATATATATATATATAGTCAAATATTTTTTCCGAAATATATTATTACTGATACAGTGCTCAAAATTACAAAAGGAAAATTACTTACCAAACAGTGTCCCCGCCCCTTCTGCAAAGAGAGTAAAAAGAATGCGAAAATTATATTGAGTTTTCTATATATTCATAGATCCTTAACATAGGTTCACTGTAATGATTCACGTCACCAAAACAACATTGATAAATGCTACCGGACGCCATCTTACAGCCCCGTTCAAGGTTCTTTGTCCTGTCATTAGTGAGTGTGTGTTTGTGTGTGTGTGTGTGTGTGTGTGTGTGTGTGTGTGTGTGTGTGTGTGTGTGTGTGTGTGTGTGTGTGTGTGTGTGTGTGTGTGTGTGTGTTTGTGTGTGTGTGTATGTGTGTGTGTGTGTGTTTGTGTGTGAAGTCACCTATTTGTACTCACCTATTTGTGGTTGCAGGGGTCGATTCATAGCTCCTGGCCCGCCTCTTCACTGATCGGTACTAGGTCCTCTCTGTCCCTGCTTTATGAGCTTTATCAAACTTTGTCTCAAAACTATGTATGGTTCCCGCCTCCACTATGTCATTTTCTAGGCTATTCCACTTCCTGATAACTCTATGACTGAAGAAATATCTCCTAACATCCCTTTGACTTATCGGAGTCTTCAGCTTCCAATTGTGACTCCATGTTTCTGTGTCCCATCTCTGGAACACCCTGTCTTTGTCCACCTTATTAATTCCTCGCAGTATTTTATACGTCGTTATCATGTCTCCCCTAACCCTACTGTCCTCCACTGTCGTCAGGCCGATTTCCCTTAACCTTTCTTCGTAGGACAATCCCCTTAGCTCTTGGGCTAGTCTTGTTGCAAACCTTTGCACTTTCTCTAATTTCTTGGCGTGCTTGACCAGGAGTATATTCCAAATTCTTCCTGTATACTCCAATATGGGCCTGACGTACATGGTGTACAGAGTCTTGAACGATTCCTTATTGAGGTATCGGAACGCTATTCTTAATCTTGCCAGGCGCCCATATGCTACAGTAGTTATCTGGCTGATGTGCGTCTCAGATGTGCTCGGTATTTTACTCACCCCAATTTCTTTTTCTTTGAGGGAGGTTCGCAGTCTTTGGCCACTTAGACTATACTCTGTCTGCATTCTTCTTTGCCCTTCCCCGATCTTCATGACTTTGCATTTGGCGGGGTTAAATTCAAGGCGCCAGTGGCTGGACCAGGCTTGTAGCCTGTCCAGGTCTCTTGGTAGTCCTACCCGATCCTCATCTGATTTAATTCTCCTCATTAACTTCACATCATCTACAAACAGGGACACTTCTGAGTGTATCCCTTCCCTTATGTCATTCACATATACCAAAAACAACACAGGTCCTAAGACTGACCCCTGTGGAACCCCGCTCGTCACAGGCGCCGACTCTGACACATCGTCACGTACCATGACTCGTTGTTGCCTCCCTGTCAGATATTCTCTGATCCATTACAGTGCCTTTCCTGTTATGCGTGCCTGATCCTCTAGCTTTTGCACTAATCTCTTGTGAGTAATTGTGTTAAAGGCCTTCTTGCAGTCCAAGAAAATGCAATCTATCCACCCCTCTCTCTCGTGTCTTACTTCCGTTACCTTGTCATAAAACTCCAGTAGGTTTGTGACACAAGATTTTCCTTCCCTGAAACCATGCTGGTTGTCGTTTATAAGTTTGTGTCTTTCTAGGTGCTCCACCACTCTCCTCATAATTTCCCCCATGACTTTGCATACTGTACACGTCAGTGACACAGGTTTGCAGTTTAATGTCTCGTGTCTGTCTCCTTTCTTAAAAATTGGGACTACATTTGCCATATTCCATACCTCAGGTAGATGCCCAGTTTCAATGGATGTGTTGAAGATTTTTGTTAGTGGTACACATGGCATCTCTGCTCCCTCTCTACTGACCCACCGAGATGTTGTCCTGTCCCACCGCCTTTGAGGTATCAAGTTTACATAGCAGTTTCTTTACCTCCTCGGTTGTGTGTATTTCATCCAGCACTTGTTGGAGCATCCCTTGTTGGTGTACCTCCCTATTCTGACGTCCTGGAGTCCTTCCTGTCTCCACTGTAAATACTTCTTTAAATCTCATGTTGAGATCATCACATACTTCTAGGTCGTTTCTTGTGAATTCCCCACCTTCCTTCCTCATCCTAATTACCTGGTCCTTTACTGTTGTTTTCCTCCTGATGTGGCTATACAACAGCCTTCGGTCACACTTGACTTTCGAAGTTACGTCAATTTCGTATTTTCGCTGAGCCTCCCTTCTTATCTGTGCATAATTGTTTCTGGCTCTTTAGTTATTTTCTTTATTTTCCTGGGTCCATTGTCTTCTGTACTGTGTGTGTGTGTGTGTGTGTGTGTGTGTGTGTGTGTGTGTGTGTGTGTGTGTGTGTGTGTGTGTGTGGTGTGTGTGTGTGTATGTATGTGTGTGTGTGTGTGTGTGTGTGTGTGTGTGTGTGTGTGTGTGTGTGTTTGTGTGTGTGTATCAATATTCTGGTGACTAATGAAATGCTTATGTTTCTATGTTTGTCTTATTAAGCAGAAATTTCTAAATGTAAAACAAAAATATTTTTAAATTCTAACATGCATTTACTAGACAAAACAAAACTGTGTGTACTTAAGCTGTCTTTGTCCAAATAAATCGTTTAAATAACATTTTTTTATATATAAAATTATTGATGCACATGCTGTAACCTCAATTAAATTGATGAATGTTATCTATCAGAATGAGTACAAAGCAAGAAGTGAGAATAAAGGAAATGAGCATTGAGATATGTAGGTTGAAATGGGAAAAAAGTGGCTGAGATAGATTCCATCAAGAGTGAAATGCTCAAAATATATGAGAATAAATTGTAGGAATATCTTTTCTTGACCACACCAAATGTTTCTTACTGATATATGGTTACCACAAGAACGATATTCAGCATCTTTCGTTCAACAGATATTTTTGCAAAAGTTAACTTACATCATAATTCAAATAGCAATCCAAACCTCGACATCCCCAACCATCCTTCAGAGAGCAGACATTTTACTTTGTTCCTCCAGGACTCCCCACCCATCCTTCAGAGAGCAGACACTGTACTTTGTTCCTCCAGGACTCCCCACCCATCCTTCAGAAAGCAGACAGTGTACTTTGTTCCTCCAGCACTCCCCACCCATCCTTCAGAGAGCAGACACTGTACTTTGTTCCTCCAGCACTCCCCACCCATCCTTCAGAGAGCAGACACTGTACTTTGTTCCTCCAGCACTCCCCACCCATCCTTCAGAGAGCAGACACTGTACTTTGTTCCTCCAGGGCTCCCCACCCATCCTTCAGAGAGCAGACATTGTACTTTGTTCCTCCATGACTCTTGTCAAGCTCAGGATGATTTTCTATATGAAAAGTATAAAGTACCCAAGGACTGTCACAGAGCATGTGTGGTTCGTTTTTATAAAGGTAAAGGGAAACAAATAAGTTTGTAAGAATTATAGAGAAATTTGTGTTTGGGTACTATAAACAAAAAGGTGATTATTGTGATTGTTATTGTTTGAGAAGACAGAGAGCATGATCTTAGAACAACTAAGTAGCTTTAGAAATTAATGGAATGTGTAATCAAGTATTTGAAGTGAAGCAAGTGAAAAGGATAGACTTTACAGAGATATAGATAATCTTTAAACATATGAATTGTATGGAAAGTTGTTGTAAGCTGCGGATTCTTTTATGAGAAGAGAGAAGCCCGGTAAGAGTACGCTGGAAAACAAAGTGATTCTGGCTTAAATATTTGTGATGTCACCATGAGGAACACCTGGAACAAAACATAATATGTCATATTTGATTGAAACACATTCCATCAGTGGTCAATACCGTGGTCATACCGTGGTCAATTTAGATTCGTGTACTGATTACAGACATAATACCCATAAGATATCTAGGCATTTATAAAAATTATGCTCTCTCTGTACACCTCATAATGTATCGTCTTGGTCATTGGGTAGACGATGCTGTAGATCTGACTGTGGACTTCTTGTATCAGGATGAATAAATATATTCAATGAAAAGAAGTACGTCGCTCAGTGATCAGTGAACACAATTATAGATAACCTAACAGATACAACGTTTACACAGTATATACAGTATTTTCTTCGTTCTTTAGATTAAAATATTTCAACTGTTACAGTTGTTATCAGGTTTTTGCTGTGTTAATATGTAATCCAATAATCTTGACCTTATTAATTCGTATTATTATTGTACTGAAACTGGTAGAGGTAGTACAGCGTTTGGGGAATGTGAGATAATCAGCTCTGATCCAAGGAAAGGGAAATTTGATACATGGAGAATACCTGAAGGATGTTTTCGGGGGTTGCCGCCCCCGCAGTTCGGTCCCAAACCAGGCCTCCTGGTGGATCAAGTCGTTATCAACCAGGCTACTACTGCGACCCACACGCAGTCCATCGTGCGAACCACAGAACGGTTAATTAGGTACTGACTTAAGGAACTTATCAACCGAACCACAGCCCTGTTGACAATTTTTTAAAATTTCCTCTACAATAAAACTAATTTTCTTCATAGATTTTTTTTACATACGATGGAGTTCAAACTTTTCGAAACTTTTGGTAAGTACAGAAAAAAGGAATGTAATACATTAGTGATGTTCTTTGATGACAACTCAAAGATTCAATAATAGAATCAGAAATAAGAAGCTCTTCTCTAATCGAAGCGAGGATGGATACCTGTTTACTGCTAGATGAATAGAGACTTACCAGTGCGTGTGTGTGTGTGTACTCAGCTAGTTGTACTTACCTAGTTGTACTCACCTAGTTGTGGTTGCGGGGGTCGAGTCACAGCTCCTGGCCCCGCCTCTTCAACTGGCCGCTACCCAGTCACTCTTCCCGATCCGTGAGCTTTATCATACCTCTTCTTAAAGCTAGGTATAGATCCTGCCTCCTCTATATCGCTACACAGGCTATTCCACTTCCTGACAACTCTGTGACTGAAGAAATTGTGTGTGTGTGTGTGTGTGTGTGTGTGTGTGTGTGTGTGTGTGTGTGTGTGTGTGTGTGTGTGTGTGTGTGTGTGTGTGTGTGTGTGTGTGTGTGTGTGT